TGCCGACTTCGCATGCCCTTAATGGAGTTTAAACCTTTGATACAAATTTACAAAATATTTCTTCATTTTTATATTCTTGACGAGCAGATTTTTATTTTAATTTGATTGATTTTATTTTGTTTCGTTAGCTGATTCGAAATTTTATCGCTGTTTACACTGGTCATAAATATTTAGACTAAATATACAGTTTGTTTATGATACTGTTTTTATGCAAAGTCATGGGATGTCTATCCTCACTATAATTTATCTCATTCTACTGAATTATTTTGTCTTTGCTATTTGCGAAGCATTTTGGAATGACTTAAAAATAAATTATTTAACTCTAATTGATTTGAATTAATAAGAATGTATTTTACACAAGTGCACGATTAGCCTGTAGAATTATTCTGTGTCTACAGGTTCCTCTGCAGACCTTTGCAGTTGCTTCTCAAGGCTCTATTCAAATTTAACCTACTTAGTTATGGCTCGATACGATTGGGATTGACACCATTTTTCATTTTATTCTTTTCGACGAAAAGTTTGAATTACGCTAGATCCATTGGTCCCCTTATTTTTTATCTTCTTTCGTCTAATCCATCATCATTACCTTTCTATCTCATTCGTTTCTCGCCCATAACTTAACTGATTTATTTTCACTTTAACTTTGTTTATTTCTCCTCAACTTCTTAGTACTTAGTCATTCTCTTCAACTAGCTTTCTGGTTGCTTTCTATTTATGCCATATTGCCAGATGGTGGTTTAGCTCCCGGAGGACCAGGAACAGAGGATTTTGATCTCTCTACAGATCCATCTCAACAGGACATCTTCAGGCCCAACCCAATAGACTCTTCGGGGGTGAGTCTTAGGTGTACTATTAATTCGGGATTGTGGACATTAAATCTGATTTATTTTAGATCACATATGATAAATATGACTGATAGATTTCTTCATAATATAATTTTTGATGATAGGATTTATTGGCTATTGCTGCTAAGTTTAGTCTAACTGAGATCATTAGTATAATCTGACCCCAATTTCACAAAATTATACCACTATTTTATGACCAAAATTATGCGGCCTCTATTTTAATCGCAGTATCCTTCCGCTATATAAAAGTAGCTTAACCCCTTTTATGCAACTTGTTCCCGTTGTCAGAGGGACCTCGATAAAAGTACCTTGTTCAGAGTCCCCTTCCATAGTAATCATACTTACTTCCGCAAGAATGTATTAAGTCCACTGTCCGATGCTGGAAATTGGTAGGATTACCATGACGAAGTACTCCGGTCCAGATGCATTCATCGGAATCCCCATGACAACACAACCAGTTTGTGAAATTAAAATCAAGATCAAACCATATCTATCTTGTTAATGCCTATTTTTTAATAATATGAATTAGGCCATTAAATATCTTTGCTCCATAAAACGAAAAGTTTAGTTGCAGTAATTCGCACCTTCTCTACCATGGTAGCTGTCCCTATATTGTTTGCCAATTTTCGAATTCCAGAGTACTCATAATCTTCGTTTTATTTTGATATTTTCTTTGCTTCATGGATTTCCTCTTCAAATATGAAATTTTCCTTAATTATTTATTTTAAGATTCGGATACCTGCTATTTTAACCACTTTGGTTGAGCAGTTCGCCGAACATTGTCATGAGACTTGGGCTCAGGAGCTAATGGAACAGGGATATCAGTTTGGTCCTGTGGCTGATGATGTCAGAAAGACACATCCGAATTTGAGGACCTTCCACACACTACTACCGAATGTAAGCCTTCTTGCCACTTATTTTATTTATTTTAATTAAATTATAGGCTTCTTGTGTGCTTGTTCTGTATCTTGAGTTGATTATCTTTTAGATATAAATTGTACTAGATTTTCAGCTCGGTTTTAGAACAAATGATACAAGCTCATGACAGCCAAAGTGATTGTTGCCACTATATTTTCTCATCTGTTATCTGAGTTGGATCTCTGATTAGAGAAGAATAACTTTAAACATGATCATCTTCAGGAGCTCGTAGGTTGCTTTTTACTCAGAAAAATCGGAAAATTACTGGAATCACCAAATGATGAATCTAAAATTTCCCTATTTCTCTCTAAAATTATTCTCTTTCGCCTAGTTTGTTTCACTGATTATCCATTCATAAACTTAAAACAAATGTGATGGGCTTCCACAACTGTCAGCAACCGATTACAAGTATGCATAAAAGGTGGAGGACGAAGAAGTAAGAAAAGGAAATATACGCCTAGATGCTGAATTCAACTCCATAAATTATAAAATAAAACTGTTTTTTAATAAATTTTTAACTTAGGTATGAGAACCAAAATAATGCGGCCCTTCACGTTGACGAGATCTCATTTTGTCGCACAGAATTAGCCTGAGCTTCTTCTTTCCTATTTATTGAGAAATTTCAATGAATATATGAGTTGTGTTCACCCTATTTCGTTTAAAGTGATGAAGGATTTGTAGTTAAATTTTCCCACAATGATATGAATAGAGCTAACGTTTCACTTGAATTGCACATGGCCTTGCTTTCCCAAAAGTTGTTTTCATCCAGGGTAGACTGCCGTTTTGATCTCTCATAGGTCCTATCAACACCCCAAGCGGGAGTCGAATCATAACAGTGCATCGTGTAAGCTTGACTCGTTAACAACTACGCCACATTAGCACGAGTGCCCTTGCGTTAAAGGGTCGATGAGAATTTCAAGGAATGTCAGGCATTTTCAATATCACATTCTGTGTTGGTATTGTCGATGAAGCATTGATCTATTTGCTATTGCAATCGACGATATTACTTTTTTTCGTAAGTTTGTTTTTGAAATTACCAGATATATGTA